GGGTGAGAGACGGGGAAGAGACAGAAAAGCCACGTAGAGGCTGAGACACACACAGAGAGACACAAGCACACGCACACATGCAACGTACACACACACGCGCACGCGCACACACGCACACAGAATGGAAGGCCGAGATGGAAAGAGAGAGAGACAGAGCCATGGAGGCACTGGAAGAGCCAGGAAAAGCGGTAGGCACAAGTGGCAGAGACGAAGAGACAGCAGAGACAGAGACACAGGAAAGGAGGGAGGATGAGAAGGACAGAAATCCAGGGGCGGACACGGGGGTACGGAGAGGGGCTGAGGCCCAGGCCCAGAGATGCGCCCTGACCTGCCGCGTGACCCAGGGTGAAGCCCTTCCCCTCTCTGGGCTTCATTTCCCCCTTTGCAAATTCGTGGCCTTGGATTCCTTCTACGAAGGAGGAAGCTGCGACCCCAGGAGGGGCGAGGACTTGCCCAGGGTCTCCCAGCTAACAGGGTGCTTCCGGGGAGCTACGGGACCGGAGTGGGGCGATGGTGGCGAGGCCAGCTCCCTCCCACCGGTCGTCGTGAGTCCCCGCCACCCCTCCCATTGCCCACTTGCTCCACACCTGGTAGTGCTGGGTCTCCGGCTGTGGCTGCAGGGGCGGGGGCAGGGGTGGGGCCTGCGAGGGAAGAAGAGAGGTGAGTCAGGCCCCCTGGCACCCCAACGACCTCTAACCTTTGACTTTCGGTTAGGACAGACCTGATTCCAAGTCCCCATTGCCAATCCCTGGCGGCGAGGCCCAGGGGGAGGGCACAGCCTCCCCTCTGTTTCTCCTCTGAGGAATGGGCGTGAGGGTCCCCGGGAGGCCGGTTTAGTGGCCTGACAATCACCCCATTGACGCTCAGCTCTGTCCTGTTAGCACCTGTGGTTCTAAGTTTTTAATCTTAGCTTCTTAAGTTTCTCTTCTTATTGAATTCTTATTTTTTTTCAACCCTGAGTATAAAAGGAATATATGCTCAGTGCAGGAAATACGGACAAGAGAGGAGGAGAGGCCGCCCTCAGTCCCCATGTCGAGACAAACGCTCTCCACGCTCTCTACGGCTCCTTCCAGGCCTTTTCCTTCTGGTTTCTAAATAAGAGTCGCAGTGAACTGCAGAACAAGGCGCTCTGGGGCATGGCAGCCGACTCGGAGGGGAGGCTCCAGGTCAGAGTGGGATTCAGGGGAGGAAGCAGGGCTCACCGTGAGGCCGTTCGTGAACTCTGTGCCACTCAGGGGGGACACCAGGAAGACTGGGGATGGCATCACTTCATAGATGTTGTTGTCACCTGAAACAGAGGACAAAGGGAGGAATCAGACGTCAGGTGGCCCACAGGCCCACTCTGGCTGCCATTCATGTTCGTTCGTTCATTCATTCATTCATTCATTCATTCATTCAGCTAATGTTTGTGCAAAGCCCTCTTCTTGCCCAGCCTTCTTCTGGGGACAGAGCAGTGACTAAGGCAGCCCTGACCCTGCCCTCCTGGGGCTCACAGTCCAGTGGGTGACACAGACCTGTCTCCAAACAGGCATGACCCAGAGTGGGCAGGGTGGGAGTAAGGGGGTGTCAATAGGGCTCCTGGAGGTGGGTAAGGGAGGGCTTCCTGGAGGAGGGGACATATGAGACTGTAAGGAGAAGTGAGAATTATGCAACGACGGGAGAGGGTGTGGGGAGGTCTGGTGGTGACAGAGCTGCCATGTTTGGGGAACTATAATGTTTGGTCTGTTGGACCTATATATCATCTATCATCATTATCTATCTGTCTGTCTATCTATCTATCTATCTATCTATCTATCTATCTATCTATCTATCTATCAATCATCTATCATCTATCTATCTATATCTCTATCATCTGTATCTCTATCTATCTATCTATCTATCATCACCTATCTATCTGTTTGTTCTGTTTCGTTTTGGAGGGTGGGAATGTTACACGTGAGAGGCGAAACCAGGAAAAACAGTGGCGACCAGTTTACGGGAGGCCTTGAAAGCCATGTTAAGGAGCCTGCACTTTGTCCTAAGGACAGAGGGAGCCATGAAAGGTCTTCGAGCAGAGGGCGTCAGAGTTTTAGAAGTATCTCGCCCAGGGCTGGGGTGGAGGCTAGCCTGGAGGCCGGGAGACCAGCAAGGAGCTGGGTGTGGGGAGCAGGGAGATGGAGTCTGAGCTGGGCCATGGCCTGTTGGTGGCCGGGTGAGTGTCGTGGTGCCAGGGCATAGGGAGTGTCAACCACTGAGAAGAGAAGAGAAAGCAGACTCGGGGTGAGCGCTGATGTCCTTAGAATCTGTGGCTGAGTCTGGGACGCCCCAGAGTCCGGGTGGGGCAAGCTATTGGAAGGCCCCGAGGAGGGGACAGCAACGGGTTTGTGGCTGGGAGGAGACGAGGGAGGAGACGAGGAAGGATCCTCGAGGAGGGCAGGGGAGCGAGACGGGGCCCCTGGCTTACCGGTGTCACGCCTGGGGCTCAGCTCTGGTTTCGCTGTGGTCGTCATCCTGGAGACATAGGGAAGGAACGAACATTAATATAGTAAGAGGCTCAGATGGGCGGAGAGAGATCCAGGGGGGCTGGAAAGCCCAGCAGGCCCCAGAGAGTGAGAGAGACGGTCCCTGCTTCAGAATGAGCCCGGGGAGGCCTGTTCCCATGGCCGCCTCTTCTCCCGCGCAGCCCTTCAGTTTCCCCAGCCTCCACCTATGCCAACGAGCGACGTTTCTGTCACGTCGCCATCTACACGGACCGTCTGAACGGTTCTGCTCCATCCAGCTGTTTTCCTTAACGTTTGATTTCCTTAACGTTTGATTTCCTTAACGTTTCTCTTTAAATCGGCTCATTTGAATACTCTTATTTAAAAGGAACACTTGAGGACGTCACTACGGAAAATTCAATAGGTCACTAAATTAACATTTACGGAACACCGACTGTGTAAGGCACTGGGGACATCAATGGGAGCCAGACTGACAAAGACCCCTGGCCTCCCAGATCAGACACTAGGGGGTGGGTGGGGGAGAGAGAGAGGGAGGGAGGAACGGAGCGGGAGAAAGAGAGAGAGAGAATTTGAACAAACGGTTGACAGCGGAATGTCAGGGTATAAAAAGCATCATGAAAGGAAATGAAAACGGAAAGGGGCAGAGAGTAGAAGGGGTGTGTGTACGGTTTCAGACATGATGGTCCAGGGAGCCTCACCGAGGCGGTGACGTTTGGGCAAAGGCCTGAAACAGCCAAGGGGACTAGCTGTCCAGAAATCACGAGAGGGGAGTTCCGGGCAGAGAGTCGCTGACCGTAGTGGAGAAAAAGCTGGTCAGAGGCTGAGGACTCACGGAGTCTAGTTCTGGTTCCGGAGCTTACAAGTCACTCAGGCCCGGATCCCTATTGATACTCGCAGGCCAGTCCTACGCCATTTGGCAAATGACTTCGCGTCTCTAAGTTTTAGTTTTTTTTTAGAGAGGACAGCAAACTATGGCCTGAGGGCCAAATCTGCCCCTCATCTTCTTTTATTCTGCCTAAGGACTCTAGCCGGAATGGCTTTTGTGCCTTAACTGCCTTTGATACGACCGTGGCGGACATTATTAATCAATCACAGCATCCTTTCCCACTGAACCTAGAAATAGCCACCAACTCCTTCTCTACCGAGCTCTCTAGTACATAGCACAGTGCCTGGCACTTAGTAGGCCCTCAACAAACATGTGCCTGATTTACTGATCGGACTGGGAGGTGAAGGCTGCGTTAACTGAAAAATAAAAGGCTACACTGAGAGGCAAGAAGCATTTATTTGAGATCAAAAGGAATAGCTATCGGGAAACCGATTCAGGCAGAAACTCAAGTAGCTTTCCAATCAGGCGCTGAAGGCAAGAGATTTTTATGAGAAAGGGGAGAGGAACAGCGACGTCCATAGAAGGGAGGCCTTGCTACTGGTGCAGAGAAGCTAGCATGGCGAGGTTCCTGCTAAAGAATGTTTTAAATGTTCAGTCCAATAGTCATCAGTCCAGCAGTCATAATATCTGCTTTCTTGTTATCTTTGCAAACAGTGCTTTAGGGCGCATTGTTGTTTTAGCCCCCATCCAAAGGTTATCTCGCCCTGTTTTAACATTCCCAAGGTCCGAGAGGCATAAGCGGTACAAAGCAGTTTCTCTGGTTTGGCAGCTTCCGGCCTCATTAAAGTGGCTCCATTTACATTAGTTTTTAATAGCTGTTTGCCACACCTAAATCAGAACCTATCAGGAGAAGACAAGTAGGATGATGAAGGTCAAGAAATTACAACACACAAGGAAGTGTTGAAGAAGGAGAGAAGATGGTTGCTTTTATTTTCTGGGGATTATGGAGAGGCAGAAAAATTAGAAATCTTATCTGCAACCAGTTCAGAAACAAGGTCAAAAAGTTCTGAAAAGGCTGATCTCATGTGGAAGCAATTTTTCACTAACAGACTGTCTCTGGGGAAACAGGAACCAACCTCTCGCTTGATCCCCACCATCCTGCCATGCAGAAGCAGGCACCAATCGATGGCTTTGCCTGCCCACCATCCCTCCTGCTTCACTGGTCGTGTGGATCTGGGTCTATTTTGAGCCCCAGGGCTGCACGAACAGCCCACGTTGGGCCAATTAGAGCATTCCAGCACCTGGCCACAGTGACTGGTCCGTGCAAGGACATGCAACTTAAGACAGCCCTGGGGTTTTGTTGGAACTCTCAAGAACAAGGTTCAGTCTTTCTTCTGTGGTGGCTGAGCTGGTGGGATATAAGCCTGGAGCCACTGGGAGCTATCTCGTCACCCCACAAGGGGAGAACCTTCCCTGAGAGTGAAGCCACCATAGAGAAAAGCGGAGTTGAGAGGAGTATGGAGTTTCTTGACAAAAATTGCGTCCCTGGATCCAGCCATACCTGAAGCTCACGCGGGACAAAAAAAACTTTCTAATTCTTTGTAAACCAGTTCAAGGATTTCTGTCCCTTGCAATGCAAAATTCTATCTAATACGGACAGAAAGATTCTTTTTCATCTCAGGAGTTCCAAGATTTAACAAGGTGGTGTACGTATCGGATGACGTGACTCGTGGGATTGATCGAGGAGAGAGAGGGAGGAGACAAAGTGAAAGCAGAGAGAGGCCTGGGGCCCTTGTACCTGTGGCTCCGGCCTCTCCAGCCTCTTGTCACCAGGAGATAGGCAATGCTGCCAATGAAGAGAGACCCGGCGGCAAGTGATCCAATGATGATGGCAGCCGCGATCCCAGTGGTCACGGGCAGTTGGGTAATGGGCAGCTCCGTTTGCTTTTCTGAGGGTTATGAGAGAGAAGACTGTGTGATGTCTCAGGAGCCCCGCCCCCCATTGCACCAGTGACTGTTCACAAAACACCCGTGTGGCAGCCCAGAGCTTTCTCTTTCTTTTTAGATCCGAGTATCCAACCATTCAACCGTCTGGTTGATTCCACTGCACATAAAACCCAGTGTGTCCCAGATGGGACCCCTCGGCTCTCCTGCCTCAAGATCTCTGCTTCTCTAGATTTCTCACCATCTTCAGCACATCCAAAACCTACCTCCTAAGTGCTCCCCGAAACCTACCTCACCCCTCTGCTTTTTTTCACCTCAGTTGATGACACATCCATCCTTCTAGTGAAAGGATGAGGTTCTGGGCTGTTTTGACTCAGGGGGGGTCATAGGGGACTCGACTCGCAGTGTTCGCAAACTTGACAGGGCAGATTTCGGACGAAGCCTGCCTGACTCGTAGCCCCCAGCATGAGGACCTCCAGCCTTTAATCTCAAATCGGACACCTGTTATGTCCCAGCTATGTTCATAGAGTTCAAGGGCAGAACTGGGTTCAAGTCCTTGCTGTCTACTGGCCGTGTGACCTTGGGCAGATTAATCAACCTCTCTGTGCCTCAGTTTTCCCACCTGTGATATGGGGACAATAAGAATATCAACTTTGTAGGGTTGTTATGAAGATCGAAAGAGTTTACACACACACACACACACACACACACACGCACACACACACACACACACTGTTCTCTCAATTATCCAACAAAGGTAAATTCCCTGCCATTTTACAGATGAGGAAACTGAGTTACAGAGAGGTGAACCTACCTCCCCAAGAACTCATGGTCAAGGCAGTATTGGGATCACATCCAGGCCACCTGAACTCCTCCTGGCCACTCTGCGTGGCTTCTGAAAGTGATACCTGGGTCCTGAGAGCCCTTGAAGTATGAAAATGAACTATTTCAGGCTCTGAGCAAGACTTTTATTTCCAAACAGACTAGAGTGTCACTTTATATATATATTTGTGTAATCAAATTAATAAATATCCACCTATTTTATCCATCTTTCTAAAAGTTTGTCCGTTCAAAGTGCCCCAAACCTACTATAAAATTTAATCTTGTCACTGAGAGGAAGGGGATAGCCTGCGTCCAGGCTTGCCTGGTATTCGGGCATAGTTGTCCCCACGGCCCATGGAGGTGGCTAAGTTAGTCACATTTTGCAGATGTGCAAACCAAGGCCCAGGGGGTTGCATTGGGCAGAGGATAGAAGGCCGTTCTTCTCCCGGACACTGTTCTAGCAACTTTTGCACCTTCTACCTTACTGAACCTCTACAACAGCAAGAGGAAATCCAGTGGCTTTTGTGAGTGACTCAGGAGGTGGGGCAAGGTCGAGGTCATGTTGGCTGACTCAGGGAGACTCCCAGTCCCTGTCCTCCCCCCAGCCCCACAATTGCTCAGTCTTCTTACAACATCCAGAGCCCCCTGCCCCAGGATCTGCTTGCTCTGGCCCCTGCTGCCCCATCCACCCGCCCAAGGTCATCATCCAGGACTCCCTTCGTCACTCTTTTGGCTGCCCAGCCTTTGCCCTTGCCGTTCCCGCTGACTGGCATGCTCTTCCCCATATGCTACAACTCCTGCTCTCTGTTCTGTTCTCCGTTCCTCTGGAAGCCCTCGCTGACAACCTCAGGCCAAGGAGACTCCTGATATACTTTTCCTTTAGAGCTTACTTAACTATGCAACCAGTTGATTAATGTCAGTAGAGTGAATAATACATGGGTGTCTCTCCAGCACCTTTCACCACAGGGCCATTGTGAGGCCTCCAGGATCCCACCCCCAGCTCTGGATGAGGCTCTCATTAGCATATTCCAATCAGAACGGTTCCACCCCTTGTCACGGTGATTGGATCAGGACGGGCAACAAACTAGACGTTAGCCAATTAGAACTCTGCATTCCCTTGGCCTTAGTGATTGGTTCAGGTTGGTCCAATCAGAGGTAAGTGAAGGGCTGTAGTTCACAGTTAGGGCAAAAGACATCCTTTGTTCAGGAGGTTGTGGAGTTGTGAGGCCTGTGAACACTGGAATCATTTTGCTACCACGAAGGCTTTATCCATGCCTCCTTCCTTGAAAAGGGAACCCTGAGCATTAGCTGCGCAGAAGGCTGCCCAAAATAAAGACCTTTTCCAACCTCGTGTATTGTCAGCTCATTTAAACATTGCCTTAAAGCACTGTGTTAATCAAACAAAACACCAACATTGCTTCTGATGTTGAAACCCTGGGCAGTTTCACATACAAATTTCTGTGTACAAATTTCCCCATGTTATATAAAGACATCAGTCACATTGGATGAAGGCCCATCCTAGTGACCTAATTTTAACTTGATCACCTCTGTAATGACACGATTTCCAAATAAGGTCCCATTCTGAAGGGCCGGGGGTTAAGACTCCACACACCTTTCTGAAGGGATGTAATTCAACATACAACACCTCTCAAGCCTGGTTCCCTGCCATCCTGGAGAGTCTTCCAGCTGCTCAAAATCCTTTAATCCATTCCTTTTCTATTTAAATCAGCCAGAAGCCATTTCTGTTGCCGCAGCAAGAACTCTGCCTGATTCACATGACTAAATGTCCTATTTTTATAAGTTCTTATATTATCTGCTTATTATTATAGACAGTTAAGAGGGAGCCTATGAATCTCTGTATTTTCCAAAGTTGACTGCAATAATATGCTCTTTCGTGATACAACTTTGCTATTCTATCTAGTAGAAGAGTCTAACTCCCTTCTCTTGAATCTGGGCAACCTTCGTGACTTCCTTGTAATAAAAAAAAATGCAGTGTAGGTGACGCTGTGACTTCCAAGGCTAGGTCGGTCAGAAGAAGCCGCCCAGTTTCTGCCTCGATCTTTTGCGGTACTTGCTCCCCGTGAGCTCTCCCCAGCTGCCACGTTGGGAGGAAGCCCAAGCAGTCCCACTGGAGAGAGCACGTGACGATCCAGTCAGTAGCTGAAGTCGCAGCGGACAGCCAGGATGAATCTCTGGACATATAAGTGAAGACATCTCTGGATGATTCCAACCTCCAGGACTGGAGTCATCCTCAGCCTTTTGAGTCATCTCCGCTGAGGTTCCAGATTTCACAAAGTCCACAAGCCATCCTTGCTGAGCCCCGTCTAAATTCCTGATTCCAGAAATCGTGAACATGATCACACAGTTGTTTATTCAGACCACCGAGTTTGTTCAGCAAGAAATAACTAGAACTGCACTTTACGTTCTGTTTCTTCTTCCAGGACTGAAAAAAAAAATCATTTTTTTTGGATTTTCTTTTCATTGGTCTCTGGGACCATCTCTACTCAGTTCTACGAATGAAGAAGCATCTGGATCTTCTTCTATGGACCAGAGTTCTCCATGCTGATATTTGATTAGATGCAATCACATCTGAAAAGTGCTTTGGGACACCGTTATACAAATGGACAAGGGCCAGAACATCTGTACAAGTAGAATTCTAACCCACAGCTCGTAGCAACGTACCTGGGAAACCAACCCTCTCATAAACAGCCCAGGAAGCCAGCCTGCCTTCAACCAGACTTGCAGGAAGCTGGCCCGCTATCTCTAGTGACAGTCCAGGAAGCTAAACAATAACTTCTGTAACAATCAGCCCCAGATGGCCGGGACTTAGGTGATAACTGACAGTGCTCCTAATTTTTGTCCTTGCTTCTAACTTTGGACCCACCAGAGGGAGCCAAATATGCATCCTGATCAGTCACATAGATGCTCTCTTCTAGTTGGCTTCTCTGTGTTGACAGTCTCCAATCATCCCTGATGCCTTCCTTGTTTTCCACCAAGAAGCTTTCCCAGCTCTCTGCCTGCCTTTGCGTCTCTCTCTGCAAATGATAGCAGCTGACTCCTTTGCCGTATATAGCAAGCGCTGGATAAATAGCCTTTGCTTGTCTCCTTTGGTTGGTCTTTGTTGATTTCCGCAGCTTCGAAAGCAGCAGCGGCATGTGGATTTGCGGAGCCGGTCTGTATCACGATCCTGGGGCAGGAGGTTTTGTGGTGGCCCCCATTTTGTGGACATGGATTGGAGGCTCTGAGAGGTTTGGCCATTTGACTAAAGGTCGAATTGTTGGTGAGTAGTAAATCCTGGACACCGTACAGTCGGTCTTCGATGGTGGCTGTTAAGTCCCCTCGTTATCCACAGGGAATACATTCCAAGATCCCCAGTGGATGCCTGAAACTGAAGATAATACCAAAACCCTATATACTTTTTTTTTTCCTGTACGTACATACCTATGATAAAGTTTAATTTATAAATTAGGCGCAGTAAGCAATGAATAACAATATAAAATAGAACCATTATTACAAGATACTATAATAGAAGTTATGTGAATGTGGTCTCTGTCTCTAAAAATATCTTATTGCATTGCATTCACTTTTCACTTGAAGGAAGCATTTCACAGCTCCTCTGGGGCGTGTCCGAATCCCCAGCATCACTCCTGCACTTCGGGGCCATTATTAAGTAAAAGAAGGGTTCTTCGAACACAAACACTGCGACAGTCAATCGGATGATCGAGACGGCTACTGAGTGACTAACGGACGGGCAGCATCTACAGCCCACAGTCGCTGGACAAAGGGGTGATCTACGTCTGGATGGGACGGAGCTGGAGGGTGCGAGATTACCTCACGCCACTCAGAACGGCGCATAACTCAAAGCTTACGAATCGTTCACTTTTGGAATTTTCCATTTAGTATTTTCAGACCGCAGGTTGACCGCAGGTAACCGAAACCGCAGAGAGCGAAGCCGTGGATAAGGGGGGGACGACCGTAAAGTCATAGTTAAGAGTGTGGGCTCTGGTGCCACCCAGCTTGGGTTTAAGTGCTGCTCCTTATCTGAGTGGCCTAGGTAAGTTGCTTAAACGCTCTGTGCTTCAGTTTCCCCATCTGAATAAGGGGGAGCATCAAGCCATGGCTGGGAGGATGCAGAGGATAAGTGTGTGGGAAGTACTCTGCGCATGGTCGATAAAGGGGAGTCGGGCTCTGCAATTAACTGCCGTGGGCCTCAGAGGACCCAGAAGGCTTTGGGGAGCCCGTGGAGGGTTGCCCAAAGGCCCCAACTCCCCACGACTAGGTTTACGGGACAGCAGAAACCCGCTGTAAATGACCGTGACTTCCCTCTGGGCTTCCGAGCCCAGTTTCTGCTCCTTCCTGGGTGTGGGACCGTGGGCAACTGACTTCCTCTCTCTGAGCCTCAGTTTCCTCTCCTGTGACGTGGGGACAGCTACCATATCTGTGTGTCCTGGGCCTTTCTTGTGTTTTCGGGCTGCCTGTGAACCCTCCACTTTGGGAGTCCTGTCAGGGACTCGCTTTCTTAGCCTCCTTTTCTGAATTCATTCATTCATTCATTCATTCATTCACTCAACCAATACTTATAGGCATATTACTTATGCTACAATACTAATTATATATGATATGTCTAAAATTCTCTAGATTTCTAGACACTGGGCATGCAGCAGGGAGCTGAATACAAATAAATGCCTGTCCTCGTGGGCCTAACATTCTAGAAAATTCCATAGATAAAATGGTGAGGGTTGTGATTCTGCTGCTTTTCCCCTCATCTTTCTCTAATAATTTCATCTCCCCTGATAACCTTCCCTTCTTCCGAGGGGAACTTTCCACTCCTGGGCCAAGTCCCACTTCCTCCCCGTGGCCCTGGGCGTTCGTTTCCTCCTTACCTGGGAGCGGGCACCGACACATGACCCAGCCTCCCCGATCAGATGTACCCACGTGAGACTAGGCATCGCAGGCCAGAGATGTAGGCACCAGGCTAGGCCTTTGATGGTGTGAATGTGGCTGACATGCCCACCAACATACAAACGCCACACGGGCAGAGATCTCTGGTCTGTTCCTTCTGTAAACTCAGTGCCTGGCACACAGCAGGTCCTCAAGTGATGTTTGCTGAATGCGTAACGAATGAATGAATGCAGCTTTCCAGGGCTGACAGGCGGGGGCTGTGTGCCTAGTGCTGACAGTGTGGGCAATGCTTGCTCCGGGAGGAACAGCTCTGCTGAGTGATTTATACCCTGTGCTGAATTCCCAGCCTCCTGGAGGTTCCGTGAGCACGTGATACTCTAATTAAACTCCTTCCTACAAACACCAGCTGAGGTGACTTCTGTTGCTGCCAAGTCCCCTCTTGATTAGGAGAGATGAAGCATGAGAGTTATCCGGCACACAGGAAGTGCTCCCTGCCCTTTCTGTCTCCCACTGTGCAGGGGCTGGATTAGGGGCCACAGCTGCCCTCAAATATCAATGCCCTGGCTGCCGAGGAGACTCGTCCTGACACGAGGACCCTCCCGACCCCGTCTCGAATTCCTATCAATCCAGCCTCCACCTTTTCCTTTGCTATTCCTTTTCTGTTGAGCTGAACACTTTTGTGCTCAGCCTGCCAGAAGCCAGGGTAATTCCCAGCCCCCGATTTGCTGCTCTCCAAGGGGCCCCCTTGGTGCTTCCCTAGAGCCCCCTCTGCAAGCAGCAAGGGCTGAGAAAAAGCCAGGTGGCAGAGGGGCCTGGGACATAACACCCAGCCAGAGCCTCAGCTCCTTGTCAACCAGTGGCTCTCTCTGGGCCTGTTTGTCCCTCTGCAAAATGGGGATTGTCCCAGGAATGGAACGACGTGAGGTTTGCAAAGCCCCGGGCCTGGAGGTGCCTGGCATAGAGTCAGTGCTCCCTAAATAGGAGTTAGCGCTGCAAATATTTACTGCGCGCCTCGTGTGTGCTAAGCACTGCTATAGGCACCGAGGGTTTAATGGTGAGCAAAATGGTAACAAATATATTTTATGATAATCACTAGACATGGCAGGTGTCGAGTCCTTGCTCCCCTTCCCAGCCCTGATCCCCAGGCCCCCAGCTCCCCATCTTGTTTGTCCTACTTGATCCCACCCATTTGGGCAAGGGGTGAACCCTTGACTCAAGGGGAAGCAAATCGCAGGCCAGGCTGGGTCGACCAGATTCTCTCCCAGTCTGTCTGTCTGCCTTTCTCTCTCTGGCTCCCCATCCTTTCATCTCTGCATTCTGGAAGAGGAGATCCAGAACATGCAGAGAAGAAGCCTGGGCCAAACCCTGTTTAATGTCCTGGTGGGAATCCCCGGATGTGGAGAGAACGGAACCCGTGAGCAGAGAAGAGAGCAGAGGCGGCGTCCCCTCTGGGAAGAGGGAGCCCCTGACCACTGTTCTTGTCCACTCCAGACCCTGCTGGGCTCCCCACTCCTTCATTCATTCAGCGGCGTGTCCCGCCCCGCTGTGAACCCAGGCCTCTTCGCATTGACATCCCAGGGGCTACCTCTGGGGTTTCACAAGGTCTTCCCACTATGAGCCAGCTGGGGAGACCGTCTGCCGTTACAACCTCAGCCTTGCCTTAGGAAGTCCTCCTTGCTCTCCTGCTTCAGTCATGCTGGCCTGCTGCCAGCTCAGGTCAGGAGCCCTACAGCTTCCTGCCACAGGCCCTTTGCACAGGCTGAGCCCTCTGCCTGAACATCTCTCAAAAGCATCTTTCCCCTGTACTGAGTACTACCAGTTATCATTCAGGCTCTGTGGAAGGATTGCCTTCCCAGGCCAGCCTCCCTGATACCCCAAATAAATCTCCTATTCATAACCGCATAATCCCTGGTCTTGCTTTTCCTTTACAGTACTTGCATTGTTCATAATGATTTAGTGTGTGTGTGTGCGTGCGCGCGTGCGCGCGCGTGTGTGTGCGATTATTTAGTTAATATCTGTCTTCCCTCCTGGGCTGTGAGCCCTGGGAGGGCAGGGCCAGAGCTGACTCAGTCACCACTGTGTCCCCAGCACTGCCCAGACACTGGGCCGGACACGGGAGGCCTTGAGAAGGACGTATTTAGGGAGTGCTTGTTGAAGGAATGAGTGAGTGAACAATGCAGTGTCTGCAGAGGCAGCTCTTCATCTGATTCACGTGGCCCCGCATTCGAATGCAGCTCCATCGCTGATTCGATGACTGGCTGCCCGATACTCAGGAGGTGCCTTCGAATGCAGGGCCACGTGAAGGGAGGAAGATTTTTTTTCTTTCTCTGCTTCGGGAGGAAGTAGTTAAGCTCCCAGAGCCTGGCATTCTGATGTCACGGCATGAAAGCCCAGCTCTACCAATTTCTGTGCCTCGGTTTCCCCATCTGTAAAATGGAGACAATCATGGCACCTGCCTGATGGAATTCTTTTCGTTAAAGCTTTCATTTATTTAACTGTTTATTTAGTTATTCAACAAACATTAACTGAGAACCTATTATGTCCCACACGCTGTGGCAGGTGTTGGATAACGAAAGGATGGTGCGTTCTATTTCACCTTGAAGGAAATAACTATCCTAGTGAGACCAATATGTAAACTGATGAATTAGAACACATTATGAAAGTCACAAAAGTAAAGGATGAGTAGAGTCCCATGGGGATATAGATGATAAGTGACCGAGAACGCCTGGGAGGGTTGAGAAGTTATTATTACTCACCTCTCCCCGCATTCACTGAGATATAATTGACATATAGCATTTCATGGAGTTTTCTAAAGATACGAATGAGTTAAAATAGGGCACCGTTTCTCAACCGGGGTGATTTTGCACGCGGGGGGAACATTTGGCAATGTCTGGAGATATTTTGGGTTATCATGGCTGGCAGGGCACTACTGGCCTCTAGTGGGGAAAGGCCAGGGTTGCTGATAATATCCCACAGTGCACAGGACAGCCCCCTGCTGTGAAGAATTAGCCAGTTCAGAGTGTCAACAGTGCCCAGGTTGAGAAGCTATGCTCTAGGATGTGTTTACAACAGAACGTGTCCCATAACAAGTGCCCGAGAAACGTTAGCTATTGTTGTCGTCCATCATCCTGCCTCTAGCGCTTGGCCCAGAGCGGATGCCTCAAAAAATACTTGACTTCTGAATATGCAGGTTGAGGGATGTAGTGTATTCCTCCAGACCGGGCATACACTAAGTGCTCAATAGATATTTCTTGCATTAATGCATATGACAAGTAAGCGAGATGGCACAGCCACCAGGGTTGGCCTCTGTCTGGCACAAGGTAGACATTCGATAGACATTTTATTAGTTAATACAGGTAAGAAGTAAATGATATTTTTAGGGCCTGGCACACAGTAGGTGCTCAAGCAATATGGGTTGATGGAGGTAATGTTTGCACAGGGCCTGGCACGTGGTCGCTGCTCAGAGAGTTGGCCTCTCCACTTCCGCCCCCAGCACCCGATACTTACCGGACACATGGACCTCAGTCTTGGCCCGCATGGTCCAAGAAGGGTTGATGGTGACCTCCACGTGATAGGTGCCACTGTCGCTGGGCTGAGCGTGATGCAGCAGCATGGAGCCGTTGGGGAAGCCGATGATGTCACGCTGCTTCATGGCACTGCCATCTCTCTGGGGTCGCTCTAGCTCTGGGATATAGGTGAACAGCCGTGTGCCGCCATAGGCCTCCTCCCCCAGGTACCAGATGAAGTCTTGGAAGGTGCCTGGGATGCCCTGGACAGACAGGAGAAGGTCTTGGTTCTTTTGAGGTTGCTCTGGAATCTTCTGGATGCGGAGGGCCGCCCAGGAGCCGCGGGGGACCCAGAGGGCCAGGAGTAAGGCTGTGGGGAGTCACAGGTGTTGGTCAGGGACCACAGCGCTCTCCTACCTATAGGTCCTCATCTAGGGATTAAGGAGTCTGAGTGCTGCTCATTGGAAACAGTTCTGGAATTGATTAGTGATGTCTGCCTGGGTTCAGGCATGGGAACCCAGGCGCTGGAGGTCACAGATTTGCCGTTCCACTGGTTAGTCCAGAAGGTTTTCCACCCTGAGATGCTGTGTAGGCTGCTTCTAAACACTTAGACTTTCAGAATTCATTCATTCATTCTTTCATTCATTCACCCAACCAGTACTTATAGGCATATATATTATTTATGCTACAATACCAATTATATATGATATATCTAAAATTCCCTCGATTTCTAGGCACTGGGGATGCAGCAGGGAACTGAATACAAATAAATTCCTGCCTTCGTGGGCCTAACATTCTAGAAAATTCCATAGATAAAATGGCGAGGGTTGTGATTCTTGTGCTCCTCCCCTCATCTTACTCTAATAACTCATCTTCCCTGACAACCTTCCCTTCTTCCAAGGGGAACCCGCCACTCCTGGGCCAAGCCTCACTTCCTCCCCTCGGCCCCAGGTGTTTGTTTCCTCCTTACCTGAGAGCAGGAGGCCCTTTGAGAAGTGGCACTGGCTCCCCATGGGAATCTCCATCTTGGTGTCCCGTGGAGATGCCAGGGGTCCACCTGTTGGGCACCGACGGGGGCCGGAGGGCTGGGCCCTGGTTGTCTGAAGCGGGCCAACTCAATGAGGATCCTGGGAGGGCCTCCCAGACATGGCAGAGGCTGATCGAGCCCCGGCACCCCTTTACCCACAGGCTCCACCTGTGCGCTCTGGGATGAATATGCAGACACTGGTCAAACCAGTTTTCCGGGGTGACTGGGGCTTCTCAGCACTCCTCCCTTGACTCCCTCCAACCTCTTCTTCCAACTCAGTGTGACCGTCGGTGGCAACAGCAGTAATTATAACAACAGTCACAGTGGCCTCTGGTTGAGCAAGCCTCCCCAACTCTCCTAGGCACCTTCAGGCTGGCTCAACACACACATCCTCAACCAACATCCAGATGCCTAACCGTCCCCATTTGAGAGGCGAGGAAACTGGCTCAGCAGAGGGGCAAGCCTACTAGCAGGGGGAGATTAATTTCACTCATGCCTGGCTCACTCTAAAGCTCTTAGCACAGTTTTTCAAAAGCATCCTTCCATTTATTCATTCATTCATTCATTCCAATACATACTCCTTATGCCCAGTCCCATCCTGAATGATGTTGGCGACACAGATGACTAAAACAGCACCTGCCCTGCCCTCAGTTCACAGTGGGGCTCACATTTTTCTCTCTCTCTCCCTGTGTGTGTGTGTGTGTGTGTGTGTGTGGTGTTATGGGGGACAGACCCATTCCCAGACATTGATGATCCAGAGTGATTAGAGCTGAAATGGAGGAGCCCGGGTGGGTGGGGCTGGGAGAGGCCAAGAGGATGCTCCACCCAGCCTGAGGATAGGGAGGGCTTCCTGGAGGAGGCGGCTGAGATCTGGAGTAGGAGTACGAATGAGACAGATAGTGGGGCGGGGGAGGGTGGGGTGAGGTGTACCAGACAGCGTAAACAGCACATGCAATGGCGTGGAGGCTGACACACGAACACAGTGCATTGAGGAAGCTGCAAAATCCTGGATGAGTGGGGGACCGAGTAGGGGAGGGGCATGGCTGGAGAAATGGGAGGGATCCATTATGATTTTGAGCTCTGTTGAGAGACAGTCTGGGTGATGGAGGGTCCAGGGTTGTGCTAATACCGTAGTCCCTAGCCACACATGGCTATTGAAATATAATTTTTAATTAATTAAAATTCAATGCCTTAAATACTTAATTCTGTCGAACTAGCCACTTTCAGGTGCTCAATAGCCCATGTGTCTAGTGGCTATGACATTAGACAGCGCCTATGCAGAGCATTTCCATCATCATCACAGAAAGTTCTAGAGGACAGAGCAGGTTTAGGATCCAGTACCTGGCAGCGCCCGTTGAGATTTCTGGGTCTGCAGGAGGAGAGAACGAGTTAGTGTTTGTGTGTGTGTGTGTGTGTGTGTGTGTGTGTGTGTGTGTGTGTGTGTGTGTGTTCCGGACACGCATCATCAGATTGTTAGAACTGATGGCATCTTCCAGAGTCCCCAGGTTGGGGTGAGAGAGAAATCTAAGCTTTGAACTACCTTGAAGGCGGCGTGGCCTGTGGGTGTCCAGGTGTCTGAACAACCAGACTCGAAATAGCTCTGTTGCCATTATAAACCCCGCTCTCTGTAAGCACTGCCGGGCAGCGCAGAAGCCATTTATTCTGGATTTTCCAGTTGCTGAATCTCCTCCCTCTCTCTGTCTCCCTGATTTTGATTCCTTTTGCATTATTTTAAAACAGTTATAGAAATTTAGACAGTATGGACTCAAAAAGAAGAGAATAAAATTCAACCATCCTCCAATTATCCAAAGAGAGTTGCTAATACCAGAGGTCCAGGCTTCCATCTGCTGTCCTGCATGCAGCCTTCATCCTCCTGTCTCCCTAGCTCCAGAGGGCATGTCCTGATTGGTGCAAGCCTCCCAGGTGATCCCATTGTTCTGGCCAGGGATTGGTTGAGTGGTGGGCGGTATCAGCCAATGAGACTCGAGGGGAAGCTGCTAAGGAAGGTCACCCAGGATGGGGTGGGCTGCTTCTCCAAGTCCTGGTCTGGCTGCAATGGCCCCAAAGTAGCAGCCATCTTGGCATCCGCCTGTGGATGACGCCAGTATGTGGAGGAAAACAAGAAACAGCAGACAAGCAGAGCTGAATTCTGCATGTGATGCCTGGAGTCGAATCAGATAACCCGGATCCTTGTTTTAAAACCCCACCCGGGTGGTAGTGGGGTGGGGTGGTGGTGCTTGCTTTCTGCTATTGGTGCCTGAAGCACCCTCACCCTGGCATTTTTATATACTGACAGAGTCTCAGTGACTGGAGTCTACTCTTTTCCAACTAGGCCTGAATTTGGACTTCTGTGTTCATCTCTGCCCAATTATAGGAAGAATCGTAAGTCAGTTTAACCAGAATCCCCGCCCTTGATATCTGATTACTTTTGATATCTGATCAGGTTCCTCGCTCTCCCCCGCGCCCCTGGGGTGGTATCTGTGAAAATATAGAACGAAGTAGGTACAAATTCTAACCGGGTCAGTTTACCCAGAGTCCCTCCCTTCCCCCTGATACTTCCTCTTGAGTAATTTCCCATCCACAGCCCCCCACCCTGCTCCTTAGCTACAAATTCTTGCTGGCCCATCCTATATTTGGAGTTGAGTCCATTCTCTCCTTTACTGCAAAATCCCATGACAGTGGTCCCTACACCTATGGCCATGGCCCCCTCCCCTTGAATAAAGTCTGCTTTATCGTGCTTAAGTATCGTTGAACAATTTTTTCCCTTAATAGTTAGAATATTATGTTTTTCTTTAACAATTCGCCCATCCTTCCCTTCATGAATTTACTTAGTTTCTGAAAATTCTGCCGGTAAGAGCCGGGAAATGAAAAAATATTTTTTCTATAAGAATTTAAAGGTTTTAATTTATTAACTTATTAATTTAATGTGGTAAAACATACACAAAACTTGCCATTTTAAAGTGCACAATTCGGTGACATTTAGCATATTCACAATGCCGTGCGACTGTCACCATTATTTCCAGGACATTTTTATCACACTGAAAGGAACCCTTGGACCTATTAAGTTGTCACTCCCTATTCCTCCTCCCCCAGGTCCTGGCAACCAGTGATTTCTCTTCTGTCTCAGTAGATTTGCCTATATTGGGCATTTTATATAAATAAAATCCTACAATACGTGGCCTTCTGTGTCTGGCTTTTTTCACTCAGCATAATGTTCTCATTATGGCTGAATAATATTCCACGGTATAAATATACCAGCTTGTATTTTATCTATTCATTTGTCGGTGAACATTTGGGTTATTTCAGCTTTTTGGCTACTGTGCATAGCGCTGCTATGAACGTTTGTGTACAAGTATTTGTTTGGATCTGTTTTCAATTCTTTTGGGTCACCGCCTAGGTGTGGAATTCCTGGGTCTCCTCTTAGTTTTTCACTAAGATAGGTTTCAGTAGCACAGGCATCCTCACCCAGAGCAATTTGCAACCCAGAGGTTTCCCAGACTTCGAAGACACTTGAGATGGGATGATATCGGCTTGAATCCTTCTCCCCTTATTCCACGCAGAGCGGTGTGGAGCGAGAGTTTGGGGTATTTCAGGCTTTCCATGATCTCCACCAGACCCTCTCCCTTCCATCCTCTGATACGAATAACTGCATTTTTTTCTCCGTCTTATGGGAAGTTACACAACACCAATACCAATATTTGGGGTCCACTCTCGACTTCTGGCTCTGTGGAATCCGCAGATCCTTCCCCGACAAACAGGCCAGGGCATCCATCCCTGGTGGGAACAGAGATGCTCTCCCAGGTCCTGGGTCTTGGCAGAAGGTGCCCGGAACTGATAACCTCCAAGTTCACGTCCGGCAGTTATTCCTACTCCTCGGACAGCCCTGAGCCGCTGAGTTCCAGCCTCCGTTTCTCTTCTGGTGACAGCAGCCTCTGTTTACCTGAGGCTGTGGGCCGCACTGGATAGTCTAGGCTGACGGCGTGATTTATGGTGGGGTCTCGGGCCACATAATATTGGTTTGACCTATCGAGGTTCTTGAGACCAAGGTCAGCTACATGGGCAGTCAGCTATATCTCTGTGGTTGACCCCTAATAAAAGTCCTGGAAACCAAGTCTGGGGGGAGCATCCCCAGTTGGCAGTCCTCTATGTGTGTTGTCACGTGTCACCGCTGGGAGGAGTAAGTGCTATTGTACGACTCCACTGGGCGAGGCCTTGAGTGCCAGGTCTCTCCTGGCCCTGCCCTACGTGCCTTTTCACATTGCTGACTTGAATCTGATGCTTCTAGTGTAATAAACTGTAACCCTGAGTATAAGCAGCTTTCCTGAGTTCTGCAAGTGAATAGATTAACCTAAGTGTGGTCTTGGGGACCCTACACCTGTACCCACACAGCGCACTGCACAACAGTGGGGATATCTTGAGATACGGCACAGAGGTGGTGGTCCAGCTCTTTGGAGGGAGACGTCATCCGCTGGGCGGAGTCCAGCTTCAAGGTCGGGTCCTCACCAGCTCCGGTATCTCCCTTCGTTTAGTCCCGATGCTGTCACTGTGTGCCCTCTGTCGGCAGATCTTGGGGAGAGCTGGCATTACTGTTCACAGCTGAATAGATGACCCTCTAGAAAGGGGAGATTCAAACTTTAGCCTCAAACAAAATCTGCCCTCTGAAGCCCATAGTGTAAAGAGCTGCAGGCCCGCCCCCTCCCATCTCCCTGAGAACCAGAATAGCACTACTCAAGGTCATGACTGGGGAGGGAAGGGGCCCTTATGACAATGCACATCCCAGGCTCCAGCACAGACCCAGCAGCCCAGACTCTCAGGGGACGGGGCCTGGGAATCTGCATTTCAACATACCTTACAGGGGATTCTGCCTGGCAGGAAGGTTTGAGAACCGCTGCTCAGGGCATTCGGAGAAAACGTACAGGAGCGCGCTCCTGATGCCATGCTGGCTTCCGGTTAAGCAATGTGGGTGTCCACAGACATCTGTCCCCTCTTTGGGAAAGCCCACAGCCATTAGGCTGTGCTTCAGGCAGACTCCCCCCCACTGCGCCTCCCCACTCACACATACTTACGTCATTAGCAGAGGATCTGCATTTGTTCTGACCTGGGGACACAGGAGGAGAAGTTGTCAGGGAGGAATGACAATGGTGGAAGGCATGCAGAGACACCTGTGGGTGGCACGGCCTCTGAAATTCTCAGTCCCAGCTCCGCTGATATGAGGGTGCCTCTTCCCATAGTGCTTTAGACATTTGTAGAACAGGACTGGGGTATATGCTTTACCCAGGTATTATGTATAAATAAATATTTATTGAGCACGGGCTCCGGATCCAGATGGAAGGGTTCAAATTCCGGCTCGGTCCCTTTAGGAGCTGTGTGACCTTGGATCATGGACTTAACCTCTCTGTGCCTCGCTTTCCTCAACCATCAAACAGGAATTTATTTGGCAGAGAGTAAATGTCTACTTTGTGCCAGGCGCATTCTAGGAGCTGGGGATATAGCTGTGAACAAAAACCCCTGTTCTCAGACAATTTATATTAACAATAATGGTAATAGTAATAATAGCAATAATAATCACAGCTTACGGAGACTTAGGCTGTGGCTTACAATGTGCCAAATGCTGTGCTAGTGCTTTACCTGAATTATCAGGTACAGTTACTCCCATTTCACAGATGAGGAAACTGAGTCACGGAGAGTCCTTTGCCCATGGTGACACAATTAATAAAGCAGTAGAGCGAGGGCCTGGACACAGGCAGTCCGGCTCTGGAGATGACACATTCAGCAAACAGTTCCTTATAGGCCCCCTTATGTGCCTGGTCCAGTGGCAGGTGGTACTGGGGAAACAGCCGTGACCATGACAGTTCTAGCTCTGCCCTCCTGGGGTTCAGAGTCCACTGGAAAGACAGACGAGTCCCTACGGAGTAATGTCCCAGAGTAACGTCCCAGAGTGGGCAAGGATGGAATGAGGGAGCTCAGAGCAGGTGCTTGGCTCATTCTAAGGGATCAGGGAGGGCTTCCTGGAGGAGGGGGTCCTCCGGCTGGGGGGTGAGGAGGCAGTTTCGTTCAGTGGTTGAGGCGACCAGCTTTGTAACCAACATAATTGCCTTCTACTCCTGACTGTCCAGCTGGGTGCCGGTTGGCCGGTAACATTTCCTCGTCTGTAAAGGGGCTCAGGGTAGGACTCATTTTGTAGGGTGGTTGTGAGCACTCATGGGGGCTGGGCCCAGAAAGTACCTGGCACGCAGAAAGTGCTCAGCAAATTACAGCTCTTTTGATTACAGAATGAGCCAAAGGACTTCACCGGAAAAAGCCACGGTGAGGGGGCTCCGGCCAGGGGAACAACCTGTGCAAAGCCCCTGAGGTGAGAGGCCACCAGGCCCTTTGAGAGCCAGTTCCTGCCACCCCCCTCCTTTCAGTGACAGCAGCTACGGCGTCACTCCTGAGCAAGGCAGATGGAGGAAAGCTGGGGGGTTAAGAAGTCTCAATCTGTCCTCCGTCCATGTGGCAGGGGCTCCTGTGTCACCTGGATTACAAGCCAAAGTCCTTACTTTGAGGCCCTAGAGGATGTGCCCTGACTTCCTAAATATTTGCAAAATGAATCAGGGATCCAATGACCCAGACTCCCTGGTGTTAGCACCTTTGCCTATGAAATGCGGAACCTCATGCCGTTGGGGTGAGGAGTTATGAGGGGCTGCCGTGTGGAAGGCTTAGCACAGAGCCTGGCACATACTAGGTGCTCAATTATGGCAGCCGTGGTGATGTTTATTCGCAGCAGAAAGACGGGGATGTGCCAAAGAGGAGGGGACTTACAGAACTGTTGCAACCGCTGGCGAAAAATAAGGCACATGCACACAGCCACAGCAAGGACTACGATGATGATGATGATGATGATGATATACTTATAGGACCAGGCCTGGTGTGACGGGTCCCTGGGAGGTTCTGCTGGAAGACGGGATGTGCCAAAGAGGAGGGGACTTACAGAACTGTCGCAACCGCCGGTGAAAAATAAAGTACATGAGCACAGGCACAGCAAGGACTACGATGATGATGATGATGATATACTCATAGGACAAGGCCTGGTGTGATGGGTCCCTGGGAGGTTCTGCTGGAAGAGGAAAAGAAAGCGGGGATTTAGATGGAGAGACTTTTGGGGTTTTTGCCTTCCCCACAAACATTATCCATCATTCCTTTAGGAAGCTATCACTCGGCCTTCCTCAGTCTATGAGAAGCAGTTCGGACACACACTTTGATTCCTAGGATGGGACTTTGATCCAGGGCTGGCCAATCAGAGCATTTCATTCTCTCTGGCTGCTGTGATTGGTTCGTAAGGAAGCTGTGACCTAAGCTGAGCCAATGAGAGCCAGCCCTGGGACTTTGGCTAGAGCGACTGAACGTGCTGCATTCTTTCCCGTGGGGTTATTAAACCAGTGGGATGTGAGCCATAAGCTTTGAGAACCATCTTGCCTCCCTGAGGGGACAGTCTGCCTGAGAATAAAGCCAGCGTAGAGAAAAGCAGAGACAAGAGAGGTAAAGAAAAGTTCTTGGGTTATTCAGTTGGAACACATGAATCTGAAGGCGCTTTTCAATAAGGTTCCTCTTTTGCTTGGACTATTTTGAGTTGTGCTTCTACTAATTGCAACCGATGGAGTTCTGCCTCACGCACCCGGAAAGCCCTTTCTGAGTCCCTGGGGAAGAGGCGCCACACAACTAACTACCCAGCCTGGCTTTGCAGAGGGGTTTACCCAGGCGACTGTATAAATGTTGGGTTAACAGACTAAGCTGAGCCTGTTGGTCCTTTCGTGAGGGGGCAGGAGAAGGACGGGAGTCGGGGAGCATTCTTGTGGCTCGGGGACTCCCTCACCCAGGTGCCTCCATACTCCACACTCCTCCCTCCGAGCGAATCCTGCTGTCACCGACTCCTTCGGTTCCTCCATTTTCCCCACCCAGGGGGCTCCTCACCTCTGAGCACGACAGTCAGTTCTGCCTTCCCAGTCCCTACGGTATTGGTGACAGAGCAGATGAAAGTCGTGTTGATTGATTCGTCCATGGAATGGATGAGGAGCCGGGTGCCACGGGCCACGGCAGAAGATGGCAGAAGGCCCATCGACCTGGGAGACACAGATAGGTGAAGAGGTGGCCTCTGCTGAAGGCCTACAGTGACAGGTGATCGAGAACTCACTAGATGACATAATACTGAAACCCGCACAGCATCTGTAAGTTGAGAGCAAGCCTGAAGTTCCCCCGGCTTCTTCTCACGACCACACTCAACCTATCGGCAGATCCTGTCTGTCACACCTTCAGAATCTATCTAGAATCTGGCCACTCCCCAGGGCTCCCATGGCCCCCGCCCTGGTCTGATGCCCCTACTCCTGGGTCACTGTGGCTGCCTTCTCACTGGGCTCCCTGCTTCCACCCTTGTCCCCCACCCACTCTGTTCCCACTCAGCAGCCTGAGCGATCTTATTAGAACGAAGTCGGCTCACATTTCTTCTCTGTTCCCAGCCCTCTCGTGGCTTCCACCTCACTCAGAGTAAACTCAAAGTCATGACCACAGCCACAGGTCCCACGTGAGCTGGCCCACGACACCCCTGACCAGAGGATCTGCAACCCGCCCCTTGAATAATCCAGTTAGGCTCCCACCTCAGGGTCTTCGCATACGCTGTTCCCTCTGCCTGGAATGCCCTCCTCCAGCCACCCACACAGCTCGTCCTCAATCTCCTTCAGGCCTCTGTTCAGACGTCACCTTAGTGACACCTTCCTTGGCCACTTTGTCTTCTCACAGCAGTATGTACCACCTCCCCCCGACCAAAGCTGGAGTGGAAGCCCCACGCGGGGAGGGAATCTGGTCTGTTTTATTTACCAAGGCGTGTTGGACAACGGCACTGGGAACAGAGTAGGCAGTCAAGAAACATTGGTTTAACGGATGGAGGAGAGAGAGGCATAGAGACTTGGGTGTCTACAAAGCTGGGCTGGAAACCTGCCCCATGAGCCTGCATGGCGGTGCTTTGAGGCAGGACCGTAAAGGTGCCATCTGTTGACACCTATGGAAAACTAATGACCAACAACTCCTTTGATGGACAATAGAGAAACGACTGTGACTACCCAGAGGATGGTAGACAGGTACGGTCACCACCACGGCATTTGCGTAGGTGAAATGAGAAAGCACCTTCATTTCTGCGTTCGGGATCGGTTAAAAAACCGATGTCATGCGCTTCTGATGCAATCCCAACAGCGTCACGAACGGGCTGTGGGCATTTTGAAACGCACAGAAGATCAGGACTGTTCTGTGAATGGAGAGAGAGAGATGGACCGACGGACAGAAACGTGATAAAACAACACAATGTCAATGGGAGAATTTATGTGGTGGGTTGTTGAGTGTTCGCTGGAAAATTCTTACAATTTTTCTGTATGTTTGAAAATTTTCCCAATAAAATGATGGGGAAATTGGGAATGTGGATCTCTGTGCTTTCATATGGAAAGGTGTTCATGAGATAGAGGAAAAGCTTCAGAATTGCAGAAAGCACATTTTTTTTGTTTAGAAACACAGAGGAAAAAGGACAGGAAGGATATATAACAAAAGGCAACAGTGGATGTTCCTGGAGGTGACTGGGTACACTGAACTCTAGGTGCAACATTCTTCTTTTTCTTTATAACTGTCTCGTCTTAAGTTTCCTCAATGATCATGAGTTATTTTTGTAATAAGGAAAAAGGCCTCATAAAAATCACGTCAAACAATTTACCCCTCTGGCTTTTTCTTCCATAACGCTTAACCCCAGCACTGATACGAGTTTGAGAAAATCTTCGGGCTGCTCTGTGCTTCAACGTGCTCATCTACAGACTAGGGGCAGGATTCGCTCCTTCGGAGATGACCCAGGTGGCTGGGGGGGTGACACAGCCCGAAGTAAGAGGATTCGGTTTGGAGTCAGATGCCAATTGGAGAGCCGCCTCTGTGCCTTCATGGCTGTGTGTCCAGGGCAAATGATGGCACCTGTTGGGGCCCGGCTGACTTTTAAGCTGGGCGTGTCGATCGTGCTGACTGTGCCCGAGTGTGAGGATCACACGGGATGAGCTCAGTACCTGGCACGCAGCAGGCGGCACGCCCTGAAGAACAGGTGTATCGGCAAGCCTGGACCAATACCTCTTGTAACCTCTGCGTGCGCAATGCAGAAATTTCTCTGGGGCCCAAGTCGACTTCTCTCCTCTCTTTTTACTTTCCTGTCTCCCCTCCTCCCTCAGACCAGGGAGTCTGGGCCCCCAGCTCCTCCTCCCTCAGACCAGGGTCCAGGTCTACCCAGGACTCACGTGTTCCATTTATAGCCTGTGGGCTCTGGGTTGCTGCGGACATCACAGTTCAGGGTGGCCTCACTTTGGCCGAGGTACCAGTTGTTGTCATAGCCGGAGATGGAGACTTCGGGGGGGTCTGGGGGAAACAGATACGCAAGCTCAGAGACAGGGAGCCTTCAGAGGGGCTTAAAGATATGTGAGACTCATGTCACAACAGGAAAAGGCCTCTGGGTTTGGGGAACAGCCCAAGATGGAGAGGCCTGCGAGGAGTCTGGGGCAGCAGGTCCCCTCATGGAAGCCTGGGAGCCATCGGTGTGGTGGGAGGTGGCAGGGTGCAGAGAGGGCTTCTCAGGACTCGCCTCTCTCTACTCGATTTTCTTTCTACTCAATTTCCTGGCATGCCTTGGACGTCCTGTGAGAAAAGACCCCTTGGGCACTCAGAGCACAGAGAATATATTCAAGGCTCTGACAAGTCCTACAGAAAAGAATCCTGGACGACCTTACATCAGCTGGCTGCTTATCCATCCCAAACGTGATTGACAGAAACATTTCAAAGTCCCCTGGGGTAAGGCTAACGCGACAGAGTGTTTTCTTTTGGCGGGGGGGCGGTTAGGGGAAGTCAGTGTAGATCCCCTCTTCCCTCAGGCCCAATGACAATGTTGAGGGGTTCCAGTGTAGACAGTGCCTGAGTGAATCAGTGTAGCAACTGCCTGGGGTGGGGAGTATTCGGTGTAGACAATGACGAGAGGACACGGCCCTTAGTTGAGCCAGTGCAGATGACACTGGGGCACAGAGGATTGACGAGTACATTGAAGGGACAAAGCAGACAGTTCTTTGGGAGGGCCAGTGTAGACAATGTAGCGTGTCAGAGCAGACGGTGATTGGGGGCGCAGTCTAGACAACATGCAGAAGGCGACGCCCGCACTGGGAGGCCACAGGGGCGTGACGGAGGCGGTCTAGCAGGGGTTCCCACCCTCATTCACACTTGGGCACACTCACAGAGCACAGTGAGGGTCACAGGCAGCAGGAAGGGCTTTTCGAGGCTCTCGTGCTCCACTGTGCAGGTGACATTCTTGCCGTCAACCTGGCTTGTGGGTATTAAGGTTAATACGCTGATGACGGTGAATGTTCCAGGCAGGGTCCCTGGCACCTGGCTGTTATTGGCCTTCCCATCCAGGGACCAGTAGATTTGGGCAGGCGGGCGACCCTCCGTGGAGGTGCAGCGGGCCACGGGAACAGGCCCCTGGCTGAGTGGGCTGAGCGGGCTGAGCAGGGCCTTGGCATCGTTCTTGGGCTCGGCTGGGGAGAGGAGCAAAAGGGACAGGTCATTCCTCACCTGTAGTCATTCAACAAACGTCTTGGCAGCAGAGGAAGATGGCTAATTGAGGGTACAGGATGGCCAGGTTCAAATCCTAGCTCTGGCCCTGAGCAGTTGGATGGCCTTGGGCAAGTCTGTGGATAATGACAGGATCACAGGCAAAGCTCTTAAAATGGTACATGGCACATAATAAGTGCTCAATAAATGTTATTATTACTGGTAATTGAATACATTGCCTGGCTCTGTGATGGGCAATATTGGGGACCCAGCAATGGCTCAGACAGCCCCAACCTTGCCTCCATGAGTGTACATTCCAAGGAGAAGACAGACTCTTCCCTAGACAGTGACAACCCAGAGTGGGCAAGGCTGAGATGGCGAAACCCAGAGGGGTGCCTGAGTCAGGGCGGGGGGCAGTTAGGGAGGGCTTCATGGCAGAGAGGAGGGCTGAGCCCGTGCCCTGGAGGTTAAGAGGGGAAGTGATTGGCTCAAGGTTGTAAGTGACAGAGCTGGGCTTTCTCTCAAGGTCTGTCTGACTCCAAAACCATCTTGACCATCTCTTAACCATCATTCTGCTTATTCTCAGACCTGATACTCTGCTGGGTCCCTTCTCCATCATTACCTAGGTTCTCATTTACTGATTTCTCTTTCACTTGATTTACTGGTTTTCTTTGACTGTCATCCTAAACCATAAGACCTGAAGTCCCAGATTTGCTGAAATGACCAGGGCTGCCTCTGCTCTGGTGCTGTGTGCTGGGCGCTGCTCCAGGCACTTACCCTGTCATGAGTCACTCATGCAAGGCCTGGGACAGTTTCTGGCACACAAGCGAAAAATGTCAGCTCTTAGTCATCCTCATAGCAATATCCATTTCACAGATGAGGAAACTGAGGCACAGAGACTTCTTACTCAGTTTCCAAGAGAAGGGCCTGTTGTAGTCTCTCTGGTGCTCATGAAAATGAACCCCTGACTCCTGGGCAGTTCTCAAGGGCCTTGGGGTGCCCTTGGGGGAAGTGTCCCTCTCCTCCCAGTCTGTTTCAACTCTCCCTTCCACTCAAAGGGAGTGACTACAGCCGACAGCTCTCAGGAGCTCACAAAGGCCTCCGTCCTAAGCGGGTGACTTGGATAAACTCCGGGGACCCTCCGGACAGCTCACGGAGGGAAGAGCTCTTGCTACCGGCCCTATGTTACAGGTGACCAAAGGAAGATGCGACAGGAAACCACTTGCCCAAGCCGGAAGTGGCAATTGGGATGCAAACGCAGGCCTCCCGGCTTCCCAGACGCCTCCCCATCCCTCCACCCCCACAACCCCCTCCACACGAAGCTCCTCCCCACAACCCTGCCCTACCGCCTTCTATTGTCCCCACAGGACCTTTGCTCTGGAGGACAGCTCACTCCCTCCCGGGCCCTGCCCACCCCGCTTACCACCCGTGCCCCTCACGCCTCTCCCATTCGCCCCCCTCCTCCCCGCTCACCGAGCACGCGGAGCCAGGTAGGGGCGCTCTTGCTGCCCTGCGGGAACGTGGCGAAGTGGCAGGTGTAGTTGGCTTCGTCTTGGGCGCGCAGTCCCCGCACGACCAGCGTTGCGTCCCGCAGCGCCTCGCCGGGCCTGGCGGCCACGAACTCCAAGCGACCGGGCTCCGGGAAGTTGGAGTTCGAGGGGTAGCTGGGGCCCTGCGTCGGATGGAAGACCGCCACGCTTAGGGAGCGCCCCGCCGGGTCCTGCCACATCCATGTCACCAGCGTCACCCGTACGTCGTGCTCCTGCGTCTGCAGCTTGCACGGCAGCGTAGCGTTGTTGCCCAGGAAACCGCGCACTTGGCGCGGCGCCAGCACAGAGACTGTCTGGGATTCTGCGGGGAAACAGGGGTGGGAGGGGTGAGACCTGGGCGTCCGGGGTCTGGATGGGGCGCGGCGCCCAAGAGGCTGCCCCCCTGGGGTCTGGAGCCCTTTGGGAGTGTGTGTGGGGGGGGGGGCGGGGCGGGGAAAGGGGCGTCAAGTCCCGATCGGAGCAGGGGTGAGAGTGACACAGGACCAACCGGGTCGGTGCCAATTCACTGGGCTATGATTATTGCACTTTTTGCTATTACTGTATTTCCTTGATCTCAGCATCATCAAATTTTAAAATTGTGCTTAAAAAGTAAACTTGCCCTTTAAACCGTTCTAAAGCGGCGTCACTTACATTCACGATGTTCTGCGACCATCACCATTACCCAGTTCCTGGACTTTTTTTAAAATTGCCCCGGCATCACCAATTTTAAGACGCAATTTTAAGTGATACTGTCTTTAACAGTAGGACTCATCGTCTGTAGTTAGAGCAACTCTGATTTAGAGGAGTGAAAAGGGGAAGAAACTCTAGGTCTTAGAATCCATA